TTGCATATTTGCATCTGCCTCAATCAGAAAAAACGCTCCGAATTTACACGGATAGCTTCACAATATGTCACGTTCTACCAGAAAATAAACTTTAAATAATTAAACGATTACAGTTTTCGGTTAAAATTCCACCCTTGCAAATGGGTAAAGTTTCTCAGATTTCCGCTTGTATTTGAATTCTTGTAGGTTTGTTTCGGCTCGTCACATTTTCTCAGTTAATTATCCGTTTTGTAACGCCCCTCGCATGGCTTCTAATGATTATCTAGTACGGACACTAAAATTCAGCAAAAAGTCAATCAACTTTACTGAAATGTGTGCGACGTTCCCTTAAGACAATGACATATTGAAGTAGACCTTACCCCCAGGAAGGGCGCAAATAATAAAGTTTAATCGTTTGGGAAAATGCTTCCATTACGACGAATATTTAAATATTCGCTCTGAACTTGTAATTAAATTATCGCCAATTTGGATTAATTAATCACGACGATGAAAATCTGTAAAGAGCGTTTTACACTCTTGACGAAGATAAAAAGAACGAAATGTTCACAATTTTGAGTGGCAAACAAAGAACGCACCCCTTTTCTGATGAATATTAATCGACCAATTTCTCGAGTCAGCTATTTACAATTACACTTTTCATAATTAATCCGCTATTAAAGGGGTTAAGATAATTTTTGGCTCGTTTCGATTTTACGGTCTAACGAAAAGTATCCAATTGGATTTTTTTTTTGTATACGAGTTCTGATATAAGTTATGGCCCGTTTTCAGTAATATCCAGTAGCTTTTATCAAAAGGGAACCGAACCAGCCAGATTAACACACTGACTTTTACGATATCTTTATTGCAAATTGAATTCTTAAAATGCCATCAACCTTTTATGGCTTTCTAATAGCGGAGTGCGCACTTTAAATATCACCTTTCGTTTCGGTTATAACTAAATTATGGCGAATGCTTATTTTTCGGTGAGATGATTGATTGGGCGAGCTATTTTACATATTTGCTCTTACCAATTTCAATTTCGCTTTGATCCTTACGGCTAAAGAGCTTTCAGTTTTCAATTTATTCGCTACTGGTTAAATCACACTTGCTAATACAAGCAAATTCAAATAAATGTTTATTTTTCTTATATTGTTTAGTGAAAAACTGGCTTATTACAATCAATGAAATCGTTTACACAAACTGTTTAAAATGTTTTAAAATTTGAGTTTTTTTAATTAATTGTTATAATGTGTAGCGCCGTTTTAACCACCGATAGGGAAACCAAGACACCGTATCTAGTTATTCAGTTTCCTAAATGTTCCCGTAGAGATATTTTAATTATTATCGCAGCCCCGAAAACTCCCTTCATTTGGAAAATGAGATAAACTCGTCTATTAATTATGAGTAGCTTATAGTTTCGCAATGCCAAAAATTAATAGATATGGAAAAAGTCGCTCGTTCGCATGTAGATAAGCAGACCTCTCGCTTGACCCGAAATTTCAATTAACAATTGGTGTTCACTGGACTACGGAATATTGGAAAATCAACCAGGCCAATTAACTAAGGATAATAAATTATCAGTAGCTAATTCAATGTGTTGCAGCAGACCTGGTGTGGTTTGGGTTTGGTGTCAAATGAAGCGCACTTAATTAACATGAATTTTAAGATCAGCGCCAGATTTTGATCACGTCAGAGAGTTAATTAATTGCAGAATTTTTAATTTTTGAATATCACCTCAGTTCGCTGTGCTGTTTGGGAAACCCAGCGTTCCCTTCCCGCAGTTACCGAATTTTATAAAAGGGAAGAAACGTGATTTAGAGAAGATATGTTTGCTTTTGCTTCATGATAACGTGTGCATTTAGGCTTTATGGAGTTTTTGATTAAACTAACACCGTACAATTTCAAGGAAGTTCACTTAAAAATGAACGCATTGTTGAGCTTAAATACAGAGCTTTTCTGCAGACTTTACGTTTATTTTTAGCGCTCGGATGTGCCGCGAAAACCTGAACCCTGAACAGCGACGAGCGAATATTCCAAAACCGAACATAGGCAATTAACGTGGGGAAAAGGTTTTTTGCAGATTGTTGCTCCCCATGAGGGCTTTAAAAATTCTGGGGGAAAACGTAGCACCGGAGGGTCTGGAATACTCCAAGACCCCCCGGTGTTACGTTTTCCCCGAATATTTTCAGTCTTGACGCTCTAATTATCATTTTGGAGCAATTCCATCGCGTTTCCTCAAAAATGAGCATCGGAGCGTGAAAGGCTTTAAAAATGTTGGGGGCGAACCAACCACTGGAATGTGAAATATCGCCCAGGAAAGGAGAGATCGAAAGCATTTCGTCAAAAATGATAGAGAGCGTGGAAGGCTTTAAAAACTCTGAACCGTAGCACCAGGAGGTCTAGAAATACCCCACAAACCCCCGGGTGTTACCGTTTCTCCTCCCCGCTCTAATAATCATTTTTGAAAACACCATTTTTGAGCGGTTTCCCAAAAACCAGTATCGCAGCGTGAAAGAGACCATTTTTGAGCAAAAATGAGCATCGGAACGTGAAAGCTTTTATATACGACAACCAATTGGCCTCAGATTTTGCATACGTATGCCTTTAGTGGTGGTGGTGGTGGGAGGGGGGGGGGGGGGGGAGGGATTAAAAATTAATTTGATCTCTCATTGTATTCTAATTAAAGGTCTCAACGAAAGGAACCGTTTTCTACCAACTACTGCCCTTCTTTCTGTCCTCTTATCAAAGTACGGGGTGGAGGGGGAGGGGGGGAGTGGAACTAGTTTTATCCTTCATGGTACTCTAATGAAAGGTCTCAACGAAAGGAATTAATTTCTACCAAAGCCCTCCTCCTCGACCTCTTATAGTGATCGGGTATATTCCCTTATACCTAAAGAACGGATTGTCGGAAGAGGGTACTCACAAAGGGTGATTGTCAAAACAGAAGCTATTTCGTTTAAAAAAATGCACTTTATCTGCACAAGAGTTGTGCACAATTTATACTTCTTTCGGATTCTTTTGTTTTTCTTTCGCTACTTCAGGTTCATAGGTTCTTTAGGTAGAAATACTTTTTTTGGTTCTTTGGTTTTTTCTATTTTTTGGGATTCCTCGGACTATGTGAAACCTTCACTTAATTAAGTTATCCGGAAGGAGACACCGACGAAAAGAAAAGAAAATGAAGCAGGCGCTATGGAGATGATTAAGTAGACGTTAAAGGATGTACGGAAAAGAAGCTGAAGAAAAAGGAACTAATAATGGCACTAATGAGCACAACAAAATGCCAAGTAGAAGACACGACACTGATGACTGAACACACTGGGGACATTGAGATCAGTGACGTCACTACTGACACTAGAGGCTCTGGTGATAGTAGGGCCTGCGAAGGTACTAGAAAGACAGTAAAAGTAACACTCAAGAGGATAATGACGAAGACACTGAAAGCAATAAAATACTGGACACTAAGAGTAATGGAAACTTTGGCACCGAAGACTTTGAAAGTGGTTCATTACAAGACAGAATACGCGAAACAAAAGAGCGCTAGATAACAATAAAGGCAACAACACTGCAAAAGCTAAACAAGGCGCTTAAAGCTGCCGCTAAAGATCCAGGAGACAATTAGAAGACGTTAAAGAAGATACTGAGACATCCGAACCATTAAAGCCTTCGAAACATGAAAATGACTGAAAACTGAACCGATAACGACAAAAATGTTATAGATGAGTAAATATGCATGTGAATCGTTTCGTATGGATAGTAGGCGTCAGGTTATCAGCGATTAATACACTCCATTAATATACGAGCAATCAGCTTGGTGATTGTTTCAAATTCTAACCAATCAGATTATTTTTTATCTGATTAAAAGCTAGGTAGCTTTTTATCAGCGATAAAAAAGCGCATAGGAATGCGTAAATATGTGGTTGTAAAATTTACTGTCTTTTATTAATCTCCTTAAAATACACTCGATCTTGGTTTTTTTTTAAACCAGGATAATTTTATTTTTAATTCGCTCAAATTTTGTTGCTTCCTGGAAAAAACTCGATCAAAAACACATATGATAAAATCGCTCCAGCTAAAGCTGTCGCGATTTTATCACACTTTTAACCTCTAGTTTTTCGTGTAAAAATAAAATTATTCGATTAAGAATCAAACTTTGCTGGTTCCGTTTTAGCAGAGACAAAAACGCAGAATAAACAAAAAAATGCTTGTCTGCTATTGGTTCAAAAGTGACGTCGCGGCAAAATTTACGTTGGATCCGTTTCGGTAATCTAACTAGCGAAGTACATAGAAAAAGGGAGAGACGGGTAACGACTGTGAGATTTCGTCTGCACGATTTTAATGGCTACAGAAGCAACATGACTTCAAAATAAATAATTAGCGGCCGAGTTGTTACAATTTTGGTACATAGTTCGAGTAAACAATTTTGTTGTGTACATTATTGAATGAATACATTATTTGTTTACCATAGCATAGCTTCAGTTTGTGAAGCTATTCCCATTTAAGTGACTAATGTAACAGTGCGTTATGAGTACGATTATTAAAAATTCAACATAATTAGATCAATGTTAAAACAATATTAAAGTCAGGTTAGATTTAAAAGGTGATCACCTAGGAACATTTATTATCTTTGTTCCTTTGTACGCTATTGAAGCAGTTAATAAAATTTAGAGTTTTGACACAATTTAAAGTAATCAGTTCAAATATTTGTAACTAATAACATTAGCCATTTCTACGCTAATGTTGGTACACCTGTCTTTTGCAAAGAATAGGTCATCTCTCGCATTAATTGGCTATATTGGTGGCTGTACTTTGAATATCTAGGGACTTTAATACTGTAAACGCGGCCTCTTTGGGGAAATAACATTCACGAACTCGCATTTTCCTCGACTCAACTTCGAACTTCGTTCTGTCAGTCATGCGAAAGGAATTGTTAAAAAAAAACAATCATGGTAAAAGCGCGCCAAGCGGTTGTCAATTAGTCATGAAATGGGAGACGTAAAAATTAAAAGAATGCAAGTACTTACCGCCCGTAGAATTCTCTTCGGGGTCGCTTCTGTCCGTTCCGTCGTCGTGCTCCTCGGTCGCCATCATTTGGACTATCGGTATTTCTATAACGCATAATAAAAAAACATTGCTAGAATAACTTTTCGATTTCGTTAAATGGGAAGAGGTAAGCTTACAATAACAGCATGCATGGAAACCACAGAAAAAAAAAGTTAATTGGTTAGACATAACAACACGATGATTATGATGATTGTTATTATAGATTATTATGCAATGTTACTCGCGCTCTTTTGGAGATCAGGTTTTGTTAAGAGTATGTGCAAGCTCCTTCTACACGAAAATAAAAATTCTGGATACATTCCGGTGCGATTTGTTGTCTTGAAGCGAACGGGGTCTAATATTGGAAAAAATATACATAAAACTAGCCCAAACGAAGACGAGCAATAAAACGTGACTTTTAATTACTATTTACGGCAAGTTTGGTGTGAAGTTCAATAAATCATTCAATTATTATTACTACGCTAAAAGGTTGTGCAATTGTTGGCTCTAGCGGGATATTTACGTTTACAAACCTTTGTATAGGTGAATCTCAGCAAAACTTGCGTTTTTACACCATTGATATTATAAAAGACCATTCTTTAATCAGCATCATTAAAATTCAAAATTTATTTCTCAGGAAAAACCGCCCACTTTTGCAAATATTCAAAATGTTTCGTTTTCCCATATATTTGCTTATGTAACCCTGTTATCTTTTCCCTATATAACAGATATAACATTTAATATGAATGTTACCTATTATCAACAAAATGTTTTGTATTATTGCCATTGTACCGGGTGACCCAATAAGACTGTTCCTCGGCCATATCTCGAGAACCGTTCGTCATGTGGCTTAGGGGTAAAGAAAATTATTGGGTAAATCGGTTATGAAGAATCGCTGGAAAATATTTTCAAGTTCTAAAAATGACCACCAGAGGGTGTAACTGCCATCTTAAATTTTAAAATTGCATTTTCTTTAAATTTCGCATAATAAACTAAAACCTTGGGCAATGAGAATCAATGATATATTTTGAGTATTTTCAAAATGCGACCATCGCTGCCCGCATGTTCTATTTGCGTTATCCGAATCGACCACAAACCATCGCCGCCAGCATATTAAATGCTTCTTGGTTAAAAATCGGCATTTTAGAAAAGATTACAAATTCAAAAAACTGCACTTTCTGAATGTAAACACAGCAGAATAATTTCCAAATTACGGCTGTTATTATTTTATAATGCATCGTGTTTCATTTGTTTAATTTTCCAAGTCCTACCTAAAAGTGTAGGGTGCTTTTCTTTCGCGCCATCGGCAAATACCGGAAATACGTCAAATAAGATACAATGTAAGCATTTTTATTAATTAATTAATTAATCTCATTTTCCCAATATTTGAGGTTAGGACCGAGATTTTGAAAAACGGTTTTCACTGACCTCTTTGGGTGTTATTTGGCTACATTTTTATAAAGAAAAAGTCATATCATTCCATTTGATTTTTTGATTTTTTTTAGGATTTTAGATCATAGTGTCAAAACTAGCTCTCTGGAGGAGAAGGATTCAACTAAATTAACTATATTTTGGTTGATTCTTGTTGCCCAAGGAATGCTCTTTTCAACGATAGCAAATTTGTTACAATCGGTCAAACGGTTAAGAAGTTAAAGCAGGTTATTGCAAAAACAATTGAACGCCCCACACCATCTTTGTTTTTTAAATAACTGAGTTTCTGTTTTTACGAAAATGATAGATAAACTGGTTCTCTTTAAAAATGCGAAAAAAGAATGTTTAGTTTATTATGCGAAATTTAAAGAAAATGCAATTTTAAAATTTAAGATGGCAGTTACACCCTCTGGTGGTCATTTTTAGAACTTGAAAATATTTTCCAGCGATTCTTCATAACCGATTTACCCAATAATTTTTTTTACCTCTAAGTCATACAACGAACGGTTCCCGAAATATGGCCGAGGAACAGTCTTATTGGGTCGCCCGGTACATGTTACAAGAAATATTATGCATCAGGTGTGTATAACATAATCATCACCGTTAGCTATCGTTATAACAATACCAAATGATCGGAATACGAGAATGAAATGCATTAAGGTGGTGACTTTACAATCATTCTAAATGTAAATTAAGACAAGAGATCCTAAAAGTCGTACAATTCCGGGCAATAAGATGCAATCAAATTTTCCGTTACAATAGGAGTTAAGATAGAGAACAACAGTTCTCGACAAGAGAACTTCTGAACGTCCAACATCTTTTTGGTCACAGAAATCATTAGCTTCTACTATAGCAGCATCCTTTCACAAGAAGGCATCAATGTTAAAGTCGACCTGCGTAGCTCAGATGAATTTACGTTAGTAGCTCTAACTTTGGCTACAAGGCTCCTGGGTTCGAATCCCAGGTAAGGCATGGCTGTTTGTGATTGTATAGTGGGTTGAGTGGGGAGAGTAGCTAATTAGCTAACACTCCGCCCACTATAAAATAAAGACATTAAAATAAAAAATAAAATAAAGTGAATAATGTACTACTGTAGCGACGATCCCAGGCATCGGGGCGCCATCAGCCGCCATCGAGGCGCTATAAAAAATGTAGTGTTACTGAAAAATGCAATATGCCGACTTTGCAGGTATTTGGGAATTCTCGCGAATGTCCGTGATCTATCTAGAAACTTGCCGTTTACTGTACAGTGCGTTTGAGACAAAAGGGACAATATCTCTTTTATTTGAAGAGATACGAACAATTTATCAAATGAAATTTTATATGTGACATTACGATCTCTCCGATCGCATATCGAAAATTCCGGTATCACTTCTGGTTTAACCGAAAATGGTACCACTTTTGTTTTTCAAACGCAGTCCCTATGTATTTTTTAAGATATTTGAAAAAAGTCAGCAGTTTGCTGTACAACATAAAATAAGCATAAATATGGTTGATATACATTGATATTGCTGTGGTTAGTACAGATACCACCCGCACACCTGCGCATGCGCGATTCCGCCCTTTTTTTTGTTTAAAATTATGTGGACCAAATTTAATGAAATGAGAGTACAGACGGGCCGACAGACTGATGATACCATCGAGATTGTGTTTGATTCGGTTTCCTGGTGCTTCAAAGCGTGTATTTCCGTCAAAAAAGTGGGGAGTCATTTTTTACCCCAATGCAATACCTCCCCTTATTAACATGCGGGTGGTAAATATGGAGAAAATCGTGATTCAGCTTATGCAGTCTAGCATGCAGTGTACCATATCACACAGAAAAGGCCTACATCAACTTGTTCAATGTTTCACTTTGAAGATTTATTTGTGCGATACGATCTACCCGTGTAACACAATAGACACCGCGCATCTTGACAGCACACGGCATGTTAGTTTTCGCTAGTTTTCTAAATATTGAAAGCATTGTATAAGCAAATTGAAATATGTTGAAGGCCAGTTCCAACACCGACGCTGAAGTGAAAAATAGTTCGCGCTAGTGTTGACATGTTAGCAATCTGAATACAAGTGAATGATAAATAATAATTAATTGTTAAAAAATCAATCGATTTAAGAACTGTTATAATTAATTGTAAAAAAATAAATTACGTAATTAAATTTATGTCTTACTGACCTATAATAGCACATTTTATATCTGTGATACGCGGGCATAAAGTACCACTTTATGCCCTAGGGCATTAAGTAGCACCATAGTAACTCATTTATACTTAATGACAAAACAAACAATATTTGCAGGTCATTGAAAATTAGAAACGTCAATTATTGATTGTCAATATCTACTAAATCACAAGATTGGCTTTATTTCGTATAGTTTCTGGAACTTCTTCCTCATTCACGATGAATTGAATTATTTAAAATTACGTTTGACGTTTGGATGGTTTCAATCACATTAACAAATTTGAACCACGCATACTCGATCAAACATAATGAATTATTTTGTAAACGAAATTTGACGAAGAAAACTATTTGTAAAACATAAAATTGTGTATGTACCACGGGCATAAACTGATGTTTATACTCTCGGGCGACTAAAAAGCTCTCGGGCCATAGGCCCCCGAGCTTTTTAACTCGTCGCCCTCGAGAATATAAACATCGCTATTATGCCCTTAATACATAAATAACTATTACGTTATACTACTATTGAAAATGTGATTGTTGTGATAAAGAACGAAGGCGTATTTGACAGAATCTTTTCGAACATTCTAGAAGTCTCAGATGTATTCGGTAGCACCCGAAAACGACCGAGTTTGCTATATAAGCAATTGCGTTTCAGGACAATTCTAATTTCAACGCCAAAGTAATAAATAATTCGCGCAGTTATAAGTTAATTCATTTCAAGACCGTTATAAATTTATGGTTAATTAATAATAATAAAATTAAATTTGCGTTACACTGGCTTCAGGTGTGGGGTTTGTTTAAGTGAACAATTAATGTTGTTTATGCCAGTAGCGATTAGAAAAATGGAACTGCTGCAATTAAAATGCAAGAAATGAAGGCCGGATTCGAAGTTGGCCAGCAAGCTGAAACAACATACTAACGCCTCTTCGGCTGATGAATATGAACTCTTTCCCGACCAAGTGAAAGAATGACACTAAGATTGGCACGTGTGCCCCAGTAGCAGCAGTGGCACGTTGTGTGAAGACAGCTAAAGGCGATGGCACTTTGGTGTGCCCAAAAAGGCTTCAAGGCATAATTACAGCCTCGTGCAAAAATTTGACAAGCCAAAAGGACCAGGTTAAGGGTTGATTTGCTGGTACCAAGATGCGTTTGCTTCAGAGAAAGAAGCAATATGGTAACTCATAAAATAAATACGGAAGATGCCTAACCGATTAAGCAACATCCAAGCAGACTGCCATGGGCCAAATGCGACGAAGCCGAGAAGATAATCGGCTACATGACTAGTCAAGGAATAACAGCACCATCCAGCAGCCCTTGAACCTCACATGTGGTGCGAGTGAAGAAGAAAGATGGCAGCACGAGGTTATGCGCCAATTGAATAACGTACCAAAAAAAGAGAGTTATCCGTTGCTCCGAATAGATGACACGCTAGATACGCTTACGGATGCGAAATGACTTTCACCCTAGATATGAAAAGCGGCTACTGGCACGTTGGTCTGACCCTGAACATCGCGAAGAGACAGCATTTAGTATAGGACGGTCATGCCCTTTGGTTTATGCAATGCCCCTGGAACGTTTGGAGATTAATGGAACCTCGAGAGGTTTATCCTGAAAACTCCACTTCCGCAGAATTTACGGCACATTACTCCGGAACTCAGAAGACACACTTTGGTATTATCCGTGTTGCCAGAGATGTCAAGGTGACTCGAGGTATTGCCGTATGGCAAGTTCCGATTTGGGCGCGTAAGAGAAATTTACCTTCAACGTCAAGTGGTATTCCAGGGGAACGGAGTAGAAATATTGGCCTGTTCTTACAACCCCAGAGGATAATGGAAGATGCACAAGGTCGTCGTGCAAGTACCAGCAAGTTCGCGTTACAGAACCAAAGTTACCTGGGACTGTGTCTCTGCTACCGCCGTCGTCCGTGTTGCCAGACGCAACAGTTTTAAGAAGGAGGTAGTGTAGCGAACATTTAAGAAATCTCGATAGACATCGAGACGCCATGAAAGATTAGTCATCGGCGAAGGCGGATGTGCCGTAAACTTTCCGAGAAATATGACGTGTTTGTTCTACAACATTCTAAAGCGACATTGAGCAATCAAGAACATTCTAGAAATGTTTGCTATATAAGCAAACCGAAATGTGTTTCGAGACAGTTCCAACTTCGATGCGCTTGTGTTACATTATAAATTGTAAGCGATAAATAATAATTACTGTTATAAATTAATACTTTTGAGACTGTAATAAATTTATTAGTTACCCAATTTGTAAATAAATAAAACCACATAATTACATTTATGTTATAATAAGTATTCGTGTAGGATTGCGTTGGTAATTTATTTTATTTATTGTTCCTCTTGTTATGGGCCCTAAACAGGCTTGCGCCTAATTACAGATTGACCCGCATAATGCTTTTTAGAGGTGCCCCTGCAGAAGGTGTTAAATTGTTCTATACTACTCCGGTATTTACCTTACGAATTAGGAAAACTGCAGGAAAAGAAATTACGTGTGAGGAAAATGGTGATCAATCACCCGTTTATCATCAGTTTACGAATGGATTTTCACAGTTAATCATCGCTAATCGGACTACACTTATCTTACTCAGGTAAATAATTGTATCAAAGAAAATCTGCAGCCTGCAGCTACTCACAGCAAAGAAGTGTTCTGTCGACTATGCGACTATTTCAAAGTATGTAAAACAAAAAACCTTTTCTATGATTCAAGTTTAAATAACGTATAGCTTTAACTATTTACCTTATTTGTTGAGAATGTTTTTTTTTACTTTTTAGAGCTGCAAATTACTTACTGTTTAATCGCAAAATACCGTACACTGAAAACTGCACGTAGGCCACCACGATCAAAAACGTATGGAATCTTTCATTCTCCTTCCATAAATTACAAATTTGAGTTATTTAAGAAAAGTTTTCAAAATTTAATTATTACATTTGTCTGATTTTGAATTGTGTATATTTTTTATTTTTTTGGTAGTGAATCACCCTTCAATTACAGCTTGCTATTAATAGTGTGTTTGTTTTCTTATCTGATCGGGGCTTCCAGATAGACAAGAACGTCAAAGTAAAGCACCAAAGTTTTGAGTTATTTTTCCACAAATGATTCGTTAGGTACCTCATCCTTCGAAATGCTAAGGCCAGTTTATGTTCTTAATTCTTTTTTCTAATACTGACGCATCGTGTGGAACCATGGCCGGTGGTAAGTATGCAAACATTATAATAAACAGAAGAATTTAATAAATAAAATGTCCGGAAATGAAACAGCGCTATTATTATTTTAATAGCTTCACCACCCTCTTCCATTGTTTAAATGTAAATGAAGAACGGTACGTCTATTACTTAAAGCAGACTACAAGAAAAGTACGTGACGTTGAACCACGCCGGTTCAATACTTCTACACAACAAAATGAAGAAAGAAATAGTATTTCCGTAGTTTTGGAAAAAGAGCCGCATGCTGTTATGGAACTATTAGTATTAAAAAATATCATTATCAGAAATCCGTACCTTCAGGAAATCTCAAAATGTCCCCAAATTTATGGCCGTGAGCTTCTGGTACCTCCTCTGTAAATAGTTTAATGTTGAGTATCGTTTACTTTAAGCCTGTCGATCAGTGCACATTGCGTCTTAGAAAATGCCACTTTGCTCGCACAATATTGTAATTATGACAAGAATAATTGATTGCTAAATTTGGTACCACCAAAAAGTAATCTACATAATGATATTTTTAAGGTGCGGCAGAAAGGTTTATGTGCATATATGTGCAGGTACGCAGAAAAAAATAAACTATAGAGTAACAAAAACAATAATGAAGATAGGTATTATTGGTAACAACTTACTGATACAAGGAGCGATATGTGACCGACTCTGCTGGTATCCCCTCGCACATCGATTGCAGGTTATTCCGGTAACCCCATCCTTGCAAGGGCATTGGCCTGTTGCTTGATTGCAAGTTTTTCCTGATGCGCCGATCGGATGGCAGTCGCAAGCTGTAACAAAGGAAAATCGTTCAATAATTGTAAATTATTACAACTGATTCAAGGTACGATCATACTTTTTCAATTTCATTAACAAAAAAGGTTTTAAGAAAAACTAAGTCGTTCTTATTTACGACAAACCCACATCACGCTCACCTCGAACAAACTACTCGACAATTTCGAGTTTTTAGTAACGTATAAAAGTCGATTGGTTGATACGTAATGCTATTGATTTACGCATAAAAATATCGACAACGGCAAGTCGCTAACTATAATCAAGGGCGTTGTGTTGAATGAACCAACCGGGAGTATCTCGACGGTCGTCATGTGCGACACGATGCCACAGCACGGTCCAATAAAAATAGATCGTGATTCCCCTTCCCTCTTTAAGAACCGAATATTAGAGTGAAACATAAATATTTCGTATGATTTTAGTTTGCGTAATTTATTTTGTTTATCGCTATGGCTGGTTCTTGTTTGTTTATTCAAGTGAGTTTAGGCCCTTATTAGATAAACATGTCAAATTATTGCTTTTATTTACTTTGTAAAGATCATAAAGTTTACAGAAGTTTGGGCCTAGTCCTAGTGCAGGATCTGAAAGCAGAATTACGGTTCACGGGCACGATAGAGATTGCCCTAACGGGAACGCGAGCAACAACGCACAAATTAATTACTGGCAGGTACGGGAAATCAAAAACGGGAACAACAACGTTGTCCCCCTTGTAATTAACAGAAAAGTATCGAACGGTTGCCTTTTAATTCAACGGAACGGTGAGAAAGATTAAGCTAACGTGACTTGGCAACACTTGGAAACACTGGCAAATATGCAAAAGGCAAAAGATCGATGGTTTAAATACGGTACGTTTGCCACAGTAAATTTACGAAAAAGCTCAAAACTTGCCGACCTGCGTAGCTCAGATGAGCTTACGTTAGTAGCTCTAACTTTGGCTACAAGGGTTCGAATCCCAGGTCAGGCATGGCTGTTTGTGATTGTATAGTGGGTCGAGTGGGAAGATTAGCAAATTGCTAACACTCCGCCCACTATAAAATAAAGGCAATAAAAAAAAGATGCACAAGGTAAAAGATCCCCCCTTTACTTTTTATAAAATGAGGCCATGCAATGGAGGGAACGGCGGTTTTCCCAGCCGATGTTATCTACATCCAAAAATTAACTTCCTTAATTAATTATGAGGTCTGCGGACGACGTCCTAAGAATCTGTAATTGGTCTTAAAATTCAAATTAAATAATAGCGCATCTTTTGAGATCCGTCTCGATTTCATCGGATGTTGTTTACTGCATCTCATTAAATTATCTACCACTAATTACACTTACTTAATCTTCCTAATAGTCTTTCTAAATTTATTTTAATTAACACCCTTGGAACCAAAGCTAAAGGTCCCTTATCAACCGATACCGGCGTAAACCTGCATGTTCTTGCAGCTGTAATGCTCGTTTTAAATTAAAACAGGAAACCACAACCATCTAATAATTACTTAACACGACTGAAACGCTTCTAGATACCGGGTGTTTATCTACAGAGTGATCACCAAAAACTGGTAACTTCAAGGCGGAAAACGTGTGCTTCGTTACAGTTAAGGTTGACGCTTTATTATTATTAATAATTCGCCCTTGAGAAATCAAGGATCCGGTTAACATCAATTATTTTTAATTGAAATTAAGTTTGCCCAAATATGCGAGCAGCTAACGTAAATTATAATGAATGGTGCTAAAAAGTTAATGATTACCTTTGCACAAACCGCGCCACTCTTTCGAGATCAGTGGGCAGGGGAGGGCTACAATAAATTTTATCTTTCATGGTATTCTAATGAAAGGTCTCGACGAAAGGAATTAATTTCTACCAACCATAGTCCTCCTCCTCGACCCCTTACAAGTTACAATGGTCGAATACATTCCCTTATATCTCCAGAACGGATTGTCGGAAGAGGGTACTGACAAAGGGCGATTGAGACGTCTGGAACAAATATATCCATTGGTGATTTAAAAACTTTATGAGCGAATATCTCGAAAACGGTTTGTCAGAGGCAAAATGAATCGACTGGACTAGACATATCTATTGGTGAAGTTGAAGCAAATTCCTTGACACCGAAGTGTCGAAAGAGGGTACTCATAAAAGTCAATCTATTGATAATGTCAAAGCTTTCAGTGCAGAATAGAGTGTCGGAGGGTTTTGAATGTATGCCAAGCGGCCTTCAAATCTGACTCCTCCCCATTAATCATCTGCCTACCAAGAAAGTAAACATCGATAGCATGTTACTACCTTATAACCCAATCATTTACTAAGCTATTTCGGTTAAAAAATGCGCTTTATCTGCAGTCTGCACAAGAGTTGTGGACAATGTATACTTGCTTTGACTTAACACATCTCATGAATACAACTGTAGTATTTCAATGAAATATGTGCTGGTTTACGGTCGTTGTAAAGTTTACTGCAGATGCAGCTGTCCAATGACGTCACCATTTAACCTTAAACTTTGGTTCTGTAAAGCGCAAGCCATTTCAACCCTTAATGCCAGTTCGCGTTTCCGTGGACAATCGATCTCGAGTAATGCCACTCATCAGTGCGCTCGAACCGACCGAAAGTTAAGAGCTCAGTCGACGAAAAAGAAGTGAGTATAACTCACCGCATCCGACTTCACACTTGGCATACAAAGCCAATCAAATCTGGAGAAAGATGGAGATCCGGTGACGCATTCCCTATCGAATTTAGTGGCAATTTGAGTCGTATCTTTGAGCATAGAGCTTATTACAAAACGATCCTTTCGGGGTCTTCATATGACTGTGGATAATACGCATTAAAGAAGTAATACACAGACAGCAACATGTTTTTCGATATAATCATGCAGTTTCACGATTGGTCCGAAAACATAACGCAGTCCAATACTTTATTAATCATAGCTAAAATTAAGGTGTACTGTGAATACGGTGTATTTTTTCCAAGTTTTTCATTTTCATAAGTAAGCCCAAAGTACATGAAAGCCATAATTATTACACAAAATATCGTTGTGGCAGAGTAAATATCTAAGCACTCAGTTTCACTCTGTTTGCAAAATTTCCTACTGTTATTATGTCGACAATATATTGTTACAGATAACGCTTTGAATTACCATAGCGATATTCGTTGTCATATTTCCCCATGGAACGCCTACCCCAACTTTAGAGGAGTAATATATATTATCGCATAATGTTAGTGGTTTCGGCAGCGTTACGTAAAATTCACTTATTTAACCAACAAAGTAAATAGAAGAAACGGGGTGTCGTTATCGTGGATAAAACCACATTTAGATAAACGTACAACTCTCTATTAATTTATACTTCGGTGATTTATCACCTCATTAAAATTAAGTGTGGGAAATCTACATGAATATTGAATACAAACTAGTCAAGAAGCTGACCTTCTTCTATAAGGGAGACTTGCTCGGGTCAGGGATTGTCTATTAATAAACTCCTCTAAAAATCAACGTAACGAAACGATACTTGGAGAAGAAGATGATAAATCTTTGACATCAAAAAAGATAGTAATAATGAGTTTGTAGTAAGTAGGTTTACAGTAAATACAGCTGGCCTAACAACATGTTAAGATGGATCATACAATTTTTCTTGCCACCTTCAAATACAAAGAACGCTCAGGATCTTATAAAGAAAGAGAAATGACCACAATAAATTTATAACCGTGTGGTGCCCACGTAAGGTTTTGCTTTTATTAATACCTTGTAGCCGTCGTATTTATGCCTTTGTGTGTGGGGTACTACGTAAGTCAATCGAGGGGTTAATAAGCAACGGAATCGATTAGAATGTTCGCCCCCGATGTGATCCCGAGGAAGATATAGAGCTGTAAGCTTAGTACTTAAAACATGAACCAATTTTATTTAATGAATAATGCATAGACAGATCGCAGCTACTTGGGATACCGACACAATGCTCCTGATTGATCGCTTAGCTTATACATAATTTATATTAAATTAGACTCATTTACATTTCAATCTTTTAACTTGTACGCGCTTGCTGAATCTGCAATCTTACTCACTTCATTTATTAAATCGCCCCTTCATCAGTTCACCACCGCCGTTCCTTCTTTTTTACTTATAAGCTGGAAAATTGAATAATTTAAAGGAAGGTTCGTGGTAGTCGCAACTCATTACTTTATTGTGACGTGCTCACGACTGCAATCCAATATTTAAATCCTTTCAGAGTAGAAACTTGCCGGGTTTATCAACCACCAAAGCCGAGTTAAACCTTCTACTATTTATGGTTTTGAGTCAGAAAGGGCATCGACAGTTTTACTCAACTATCTCGCACACATACATCGCTTGGTATCTATCCTGAAACGCCCACCTGTTTTCGGCAGAACTTTTAACCAGAACAACGCAATTTGTAAAGCCACAGAGAAGGTTTTTTATAGAAGCTACTGTGTAAAAATTCACACGACAAAAAGTTCGGATCGGCCGCACGAAACCTGCAAAACAATAGGCAGTGGCGTAACGTAACACCATCATCATATGTGCCGACCACTGCGCATACAAACGACTGGCCAACTTATAACAGATCTATTGTACCAACATGTAATATCCTTCGCAGTAACGTACACGAAGATATAATTTTATTTTTTGCCTTTATTCTTGAGTGGGCGGGGTTTCAGCCAAGGCTGCTCTACCAACTCAACCCACTATACATTTACAAATATCCATGCGCGGACGCATTTAAGCATACTGCACAGTCGCTGGACGATCAAGCAAAATAATGCAATTTCATTGGTCAAATGAAATAGAGAAACAACGCGCGTCGAAGTGTAGTTATTAAATATACATTATCCGTTTCCTAAATTTGAAAATGTATACCACGAGTGCTTATGAACACTGTGGCGTCATGGCAACGTGGAAGGAAATTCATTTTTTTTAAATTTCCCTTTAGTATTTATTCAGGTGTTTATATTATATTATAATAATAAGTACATTTCATTCATTATTATAATGATTTTGTCCGAGGGATTTAG